AACTTTGCAGTGACCTAATTGTTGATCTTTAAGGAACTCAGCTGTAGTTGCCAGGAAATCTAATCCACTGGTTACTCTGTAGACAGCTCTGCCTCTCCAAAAGATTTATTTCTTAAAGTCTCTCTATAAATTAAAAAATGCCAGCTGAATTTACATATAGTTTGACTTTGAGATGTAAGCAAAATTACATTTCAATTCAAACATAAGTTTAACTTAATGATTATGACCAATGGAAAAATTAATTCAAGATTTAAAAAAAGTCCATTTATAAAAAGTTACCTATATTTTTATAGCTATATATTTTTACACAGCATTTTTTAGAATATAAATAAAGTTACATGGATTCTTTTTTATATGTACCTCCTGCTCTAGAGGTTTTAGAAATCACATGGTCATAAGCTATTTTCTTCTTCTAATTAAAAAAATAAACAAAATAAAAACACTTTATAAATCTCCTGACCTGGACTTAGAATTGGTAAATGATTACATTCCTCAGATCTACATATCATCTATAACTACATGGTAGAAAATCAGAAGGGAGAAGTTTTGCATCTCAAACTAGTGAGCAACTGCTTTCTTTTCCTCTGCTAATAAATTACAGGCAAACTTGAACAGATGTCAGGTTGGCATTCAAAACCTAAAATATAGCTGAAAAGCAAGTTATGACTAATACGAGGAGAAGAGATGAATGTCAGAAAGCTTCATTTTTTTTTTCTTTTTTTCAAATTTCAGATAAGCTCTTTAGCCTTAGGGTTCCTTTTACAGAGCCCTGGAGTTCGGCTAGATGTCTTAACCCCCATTTAAATTGCAATCTCTCCTTGTGAGTGGGGGTGTGAAAATGCATTTTAAGAGTGTCAGTGTTTATGTTAATCTTAGCAAGAACTCCCTCTCTCCCAAATATGGCATGCACAAAACCTTGGTGCCCTTTCTTCCACTCTGTTTTATTTGCACTGTTCTTAGCATGTGAAAGATGTCTGTGTGTGATTGAAAGGCTCCTTATCTTCTCAGCAGCTCTACTTCATAGAGTAACTGCAGTTTCACTTATGATATCAGAAAAGAGTTGCTTTCCTCTTGAATTTCAAAAGAAACCTTAAAAATACAGATTGAAAATGGGCTTAGAGAGAGAGAGGCACAGGGGGAAGGGGACCAAAAAGAACACAGTGTCAGTTTCAAAGAATGGGGGCACAAGACCATAACAAGTGGCTTTCCTCCCCACTAGGTGGCCTGGACATCTACAACCCACAGATCCACCAAAAGACAGTGCGAGGCGAAGGCCTTCGGTCTACACCTTTCCCCTGGCTCTCCTGCCAAAGCTATCCTTGGGTAGCGGTGAACCTATTCCCAAGATTACATTAAGAGATGCTGACTAATTCTTTAACAATTGTTCCACTGTTCATTGAACAGGATTTCTTTGTTTTGTTTTGCTTTTTTTACTTTGACATTTACAGTGTAGAGAATATTGCCAGGGATACCGAAATATGAAGTTTCTTTTCAGAAACTGTCTTTGCCAACAAAAGACCTACAAAGAGAATGGAGGTGATCAATCATTGATTTATCCTGAGTTTTCTCCACAAAACTGCATGCGGGGGGATAAGGGTAGACGGTCTGAATGGACATATCGATTCAGCTGACACCTAAAAATGCTCAAGGACAGCAACCAGCTGCTAAATTTACCCATCTATGCTTCCAGATACCAGATTTTGAGGCTCACATTTCTACCGTGGGACTCCAGTGCTGCTTCTATTCTCCCACAGAATAAGAATTTAAGGCAATTCCTAATTAAATAGCATTATGGGGGCTGGAGGACATTTAACTAAATATCCATTTGATATTCATTAAGTACAAGGTAAGGTCTAGTTTTCCTTGCTAATGCTTTCTGCTCAACTACTACAGACACAGAAAATAGTTACACTGATTAAAACAACAAAAACAAAAGTCTAAATTGATATTCCTCCTAAATAATCCCTTTTCCTCTTACTACACATGGCCTTTATCCTTCTGTCTATAAAGCTTTACATGACTTCTTCTCTCCTATAAGCATTTCCTGGATTGCAATTCTATTAAAAAAATTATTTTAAATAGAACAAAAATGGGAAGGTATACACTAAGCTCCTAAAAGTATTTCAAGAAAAAAATTAACAGATTGGAAATTATGTGACTTTAAAAAAAAATTCTATATATTACCTGGTCTGATCTCTAATTTTAGTGCATAATTGTGTACCTCTGGCTATTTAGTCCTCCTATATCTTACCAGCAACATGTTGTATGTATCTAGACTACATTTTCAATTTTGAAAATGCAACATAAAGTTTCACAAACAAAAGGAAAGAATTCTATTACGGAGAAGCAGTTATCAATCTCATAAACAGAGTAACAAGGGAGAATCCTAAATTTATCACTAGTAAATTTGAAAAATTGGTATATAGGCAAAAAAATCCATTAAGTTAAAGATTCCTGGTTACAATGTGGATATAACTCTATATTCCATAGTCTCAAGCCAAAAATAAAAGTTCTCTGCTTAGTACAAAACAAAAAGGTCCCATAACTCACATAAATAATTACTTGCTAATATTTTTTTAAATTTGAATTGATTTAACCAATCACATCCAATGTCCAATTGAACCCCCAAAACATACAGGCTTATCTGTTTGGCTAACAAAGAGTGAAGGAAAAAAAGATATCAGCCAATTTTCTTCCCACCTGGTAGGGCAAAAGAATAGAGAATACATATAAAAAAGAATCCATGTTACTTTATCTATATTCTATCCAAATGTAATGATTTTTAGTTTTATATATCTTTACTAGGTCTAATGAGAACTTTATAATCATACTTTGCTGGGGGTGCAAAAAAATATATACTATATAATTCCTCCAAAAATGAAAGTAAAAAAAGAAGCCTCTACTGGAAGGTAGGAAATGACACATACATAGGAAGATAGTTATTTCTCAGCCATTTAACCATTTTTTAAGATACTCAGAAACTTTATACAGAATAGAGAAAATAATACTTTTCAATTCAGCCCCAAAGCCAAGGTAGCTGTAAACTAGTTGTCTTTCAAGGGAAATTGATAATACAGGCTTGATGACAAAAAGCCATAAAGACCAAATACATAAATAAAAAATAAATAAAGGACTTCTTCAAAAGACAGAATGAATTTTTTGTCTAATTAAGTTGATGTAAAAATATTTAAAAAAATAGAAAAATAAATCCATAAAAGGTTCTGGACAGTAGCACTCACAAATGAAATACAAACCAAAGTCCTTCGGCAAAAGGTACATCAGTAACAACCAAAATCACACGCACGCTGTTGATGCGGATATCGGAGACATAGTCTATTCACTAACAAATCCCAACTCACTGTCAGACTCTTCAGCAGCTGGAACAGTGACAAACTGACTGGTACGAGTTTTAATCCTTTATGCATCACCTCCCCAACCTCAGACAGAGGCCTTCATGGACAGGATCTGGATAATGCCCAGGCAGGAAACTAGTATCTGATAACTGTATCCTCAGCAGCTTCCCAGCAGTAAGAAAGCACTTGTAATATAATTTAAAGACATGGCTTATTACAGAAGCGATTATTTCTCTATTCTTAGCTAGGTAGTGTAAATATTCAAAGAAACGATCGCTAAATTTTTTTTACACCAGGTCTCAGTTCTGTAGTTAAAAAAATACGCACACTCCACACACACATATATGAATAACTTAGAACATGTAAAGTCACCTTCTTATCTCTGCTCTTACTTAAAATATACTTAAGCAATATTTCCATGTCTTGATAAAAAAGATTTTACTGTGCCTCAAAAATACGTATTACCATGATAGTGAACTACCACATTTGTTATAATTTTCCAAATTAAAATTCTGGTTTTTATGGACATGGCCTTTGTGTTCGTCAGTTAAAAAGTATGTTATTGCCATTTCAAGGTGTATAAAACTCAGGTGATGAGGGTCTCTGTCATTTTCTCTTAATCCAGTTCCAACTCGACCTTTACCCAGTGAACAGGTGTGTGGCGCGTCTGTAATTTATCAGAGTGAGCCACCAGGAGAAACGCTCCCAACAACAGGAGGCTAATACAGTCCTGCACTTGGTGCCGGGGCAGCCGTTCTTGGCCCCACCATGATGAATATTCTTTTATCCACCAGTAGCAATTTAAAGATAAAGAATTACAGGGGAGAGGGGAGTCATATATTTGTATGAATTCCATTTTTTTCTGGATACCATTTTGACAGTAACAGTCTGCCAGAAGCTGTTATGTTATAAACTCTTCTCTCAGATATTCTGTTTTTCACGTTCTAATCCAATATATGATGTGGATGTGAAAACAGTCATGATGGCATTCACACTGAGCAAGAACTGTCACAGCACGCAGATAAACCGAATAAACCTCCAAAAGGAAGTGATGCATGAACAGAACATTTATTTGCATCCAATAATGAAATTCCTATGGCTCTCCCACATCTGTCTTTTTAGATCAGACTTACCTTTTTTAAAAACAAGCCAGTTACCCATTTACGTGGTAGGAAGATGCACTGATTGGGAAATTGCGGCAGCACGTAAAAACAAGCAGCAGTTAATAATGTAAGAATAATGCCCATCCTCTGATAGATAATGATTATTCAGCCTGACCCACAGTGGATCTTTAGAGTCAGGTGAAATTTCTAAATATACCCTAGAGAAAACCATTTGTGTGTGTATGTGTGTGTGTGTGTTGTGTGTGTGCACGTGTATGCACATAAATAAAATGAAGTAACTACAAATATTATTTCTATGATTTCCCCATAAAAGTCAAAAGTAATTTTTAAAGTTCCAATATTTTCAAGGTTTTTCAGAAAAAAGTATCTGCTTGTTTTCTTCTTTTAAAAAAAGAGGTTAAAACAGGAAAATACTTTGGTGGGTCTGAAAAATAATTTCAAACTACCAAAAACAGATTCTTCACCACATTAATAATGTTTTTAACAATGCAAAATTTTATCAAGTTTCCCTTTTTAAACTCACCCATCTGCTCCACAATCTCTGGAGGAAATACTCGGGAAGCAAATGCTCGTCGAAAAATATCTGAAAACTCCTTGTCCAGACCGCCTATTCCCATTTTTTCAAAGTTCCAGTCAGGATTGATGATAGATTGACGATTTTCCTTGGTTTTAGATTTTCCTATGTCAAACAAATATAGTCAAATATGGGACAAGAACTTCATCACTAAATGTAAAAAGATAGAACTCTCTGGGCATCCTAAATGAATGAAGAGAAGCTACATGAATACGAAGATGAACAACATACTCTTAGCTGGTTTCCTAATAGGAAGGACAGGTTTTGCCATGTAATCTACAGTGTCCGGTCTCCATGTACGGATAGTAATACACTGTCAGAGTGATTAGTTGAATTTATGCTGTAGTCTATATGTAAGCAATTCATGAAGCTAGGTTACACTGACCCTAACCAAATTAACTAACTTGGTTGACTAGAAGAAACACCATGTGCATATCTGATGAAGACAGCACTGGCTGGCAAGAACGCAACTGAAATCTAGCAGTATGTTTAAATATACTTATCTAGATTAGGCTTACAATTCAGTATTTAACCCCTCAGCCTTAGATGATGCACTGAGTAAGGTTGATGTCTTACTTGATTTTCCTTCACATGAAAATCTAAAATCATTCCAAAGATGTTGATGATGACAAACTTCATGTTTACAAATCTTTCATAAGGATAAAAATTATCTAAGTTAAATGTCAGAGCGCCACCTAATGTAACTAAAGAGAACCACATTTATTATTTCAAACAAAGAATAAAGTACCTTAGCACACTCTACTACAAAGAAAAAAAAAATAACAGTATAGGTTTTATAAAATCAGAGTGAAAAATTATATTAAAAAAGTTTTATCCTAAGAAATGGTAAATATTTGAGGTAATACATGTTAATTAGCCAATTTGATCACTCTACAAGGTATACACATATCAAAACATCAAATTGTATCCCGTGAGCATATACAATTATTATTTAATTAAATATAAAACTTATGTGGAAATTTTATGGCTAGAGTTTTGTGGCCTTAAGAATTCCTTTAGGTTATCTAAAATCTTTTTTTTACAATCTACTGCCCTCTTGTGGCCAAATTTACTGCACACCAAATTACTATACAATTTTATTTTTCAATGGAAATCACACACTTGTGCACGGATTACTCAGAAATATTTATATTGCATGAAAGTCATGCAACTCTCCTGGGATAAGACATCTTTTAAAAATGTATGCAAAAATAAAATACAAATAAATCACTTCATAATGTAATAGTGAATCAATAAGGGATTGATATTATCTACGCCCATAAAAATGATATAGGCATTAAAAAACATGTTGTAGAAGTGTATTTTTTTTTTTTTTGAGAGGTTTTTGCTATAGGGCACATGTGCTCGCCAGACACAGAGACAGAGAGACAGAAAGCAGGAAATCATCCTCCAGGGGGGATGGCCACGTCGTAATCCCTTCTCCTCCATTCTCCTCTCGGGATCTTGGGCACACGCGCACACGCGCCCGGTGTGAGTTTAAGCCACCGGGTCCGGGACTCGAACCGCGGTCGACTACGTGGGAGTCCAGCGACATAGCCATTACGCTAACTGCTGGTCCCTAGAAGTGTATTTAATATGCTTGAAACATGCTAAATTTGACAAAGCAAACTCTAAAAATGTATGGAAACAATCAAAGTTCAGAGTACATGAGTTGTTTCTGAGTAAATGCCTATTCATGTTTTATGAAATAAAATATTTTACTTTATAATTAAGAAAAGCAGTAAGAGAGGATGGTAAAATATAGCTGAATTTAAAAAGGCCACACATTTAAATGAAGTTAAGGAACCCTGGACATGATAGTGTACCAATGACAACCCTCTGCTTTCTACTGGGATAGACAATAGTAAAGCTGTATCAACTAAAACTAAGAATTACTCTCCAGGTACCCATTATGCTGGTGAGTTTATTCTTACAGACCAAACTACATTATTTTAATATAATAAGAGTAGGCCCAGTGTACCAGAGGACTGAACTATGAATCTGTTGGATTTCATCTGCACATTCATTACTGACACTCAGTCACAAATAGAAGTAATAATAGTATCTCATTTAACACAACAACCAGGTCAGAGACATTCTACAAAGTAACTGACCAGTTCTCCAGGTCATCAAAGACAATGAAAAGTCTAGGGAACTGTCAGACAGGAGAACACATAAGAGACCAACTAAATGCAATGAGGGATCATGAATTAGATCCTGGAACAGAAAAGGACGTAATGAAAAAAACATAAAATGTGAGAAAAGCCTATAGTCCCATTAGTTGCAATGAAACTGTTCGTTTCTTAGCTTTGGTACTGTACTATGGTTATATAAAATATTAACATTAGGGGAAGCTGGTGAAGGCCATACAGGTATTCTCTAAACTATTTTTGCCTATTTTCTGTCTGCCTAGAATTATCTCAAAATTAAAAGTTAAAAAATTAACTTAAAAAAAGCAAGAAAGAAAGAAAGAAAGAAAGAAAAGAAGTGGGAACCAGCAGTTAGCGTAATGGCTATGTCGCTGGACTCCCACGCAGTCAACCGCGGTTTGTGTCCCAGACCTGGTGGCTTAAAACTCACGCTGGGCACATGTGCGTGCGTGCCCAAGATCCCGAGAGGAGAATGGAGGAGAAGGGATTGCGGCGTGACCATCCCCCCTGGGGGGTGATTTCTCGCTTTCTGTCTCTATGTCTCTCTCTGTCTGTCTGGCGAGCGCATGCGCCCTGTAGTGAAAATCTCTCCAAAAAAAATAATTAACTTCATTATTTCTTTTCTTTCTTTCTTTTCTTCCTCTTTTTTTTTTTTTTTAAAAAGGTTTTTGCCTTAGGGCATGTGTGCTTGCCAGAGAAAGAAACAGTGAGAACAAAAGTGAGAAATCACCCTGGGGGGGGTAGGGGGAGACAGCCTTGGTGCAATCCCTTCTCCATTTGCCTCCTGGGATTTTGGGTATGCATGTACACATGCCCGGTGTGATTTTGAAGCCATTGGTCCAGGACTCAAACCATAGTCGGCCATATGGGAGTTCAGTGACGTAGCCGATACACAATCTACTGCCCCCCTCTTTTGGTTATTTTTAGTGTGGAGACTAGGAAATGAATAATTACACAGTGGTTCATGTTCTATTTCTTCTAGACAATGCTGATCCAGGTAAAAGTAGCAAACATTTTCATTAGCATATCTGAAAATATGAAGTACCCCATGATTTTGTGATAAGACCTATCAAGAGAAGTGACCTCTTCTTTCCACACTTGAAAATCATTGTAGTTGAGAATCATTCAGAATCTTCTAAAAACTGTAAATCTTACCTATAAGATTGAGGGATGAATTTTCTGCTTTTTCAAATGCAACTTGACTGTTTCCAACGACCAGTCCAACTTCAATCTGTATGCAAGGACAGTAAAAGACAGTCTAAGAGAGATATCTGGGCTTCTCAATGCAAGGTAAAAAATGAAAGGTGTTCTTATGTACAAAGCAAATCTTCCAAAACTAGCATCTGAGTTGCATATCTTTTTCTCAAAACTATCTTCAACAAATCCTATATGCTTTATTTCAATGCCTGTATCTCTTTGATAATGTTTGTTATTTATTTATTATACAACAAATATCTACCTTTAATCAGAATTACATTTAAATTTTTGAATTATTATTAGATCTGCAAATAAGTATGTTTTAAAGCTGTAATTTAATAACTATGCTGGCTATACAAAGCATTTTCCCCCTACTATGTTAAAAGAAAGAATACACACACATACACACACACACACATTAAAAAAAAAAACTGAGCAAGAAAATAGTTAGGAAAATTATATTAATCTGTACAATTCACATCATAAAGATTATCTAACACAGACTACTAGAAATGAAGCCTACCTTCTGTCTTTTACCTGTCGCCGGTTCTCCCTTTAGGATACTAGGATCCATGGCTTCAATATCCTTCACCAATAAGCCAAAAAGCTTTTCATTAAAGCTAAATACAAGCTATGCAGAAAAGAAATAAGGAAGAAAAATCACTTCATGATATAATGGCTTGATTCTCATAATCGCCAATGTTTTCCAAATGCAGAAAACTAATTTTCTCTTGTAAACTCTCACATCTGTTCCACACACAAAGTACTTTCATAGCCAACGAGAGGAAAAGGAAAATAACGTTTATTATTTGTGATGTACTGAACACTAGCGAAGTTTATATAATTAATACAAACTTGGAAACTCTTATTTCCAAGAGAAAGACATACAAAAGACAAAATTATTACTCAATTTTACTAACAAAGAAGGTGAGATCCAAAACAGGCTAAGCAATGGGGCTCAGAGTCACAGTCAACCATAGTGCCAAAATTCAGGTCTGGGTCTCTGACTACAGTAAAATTCATGCTTTTTTATAACCAGCATGAGATGCCTACAGCACAAGTACACAGGCAGCTTCTGATTGCTCAATCATGCATCCACCAAATATTTATTGAGTGCTTTCTACAAGCCAAGCTCTCTTGTATGTGCTTGGGTATGATAGTACAGACAATAGGAAGACCAGCACGTGGCATCGTGATTAAAGCACTGGACTTCCACATGGCCGACTGCAGTTGAAGTCCCAGACCCAGCAATTTGCTTTCTCTCTCTCTCTCTCTGTCTGACACTCTCTGCTGAGTGCACATGCATAAACAAATTAATAAATAAATAAATTAATTAAATATAATTAATAATTTTTAAAAACAAGGATAACAGGAAAAGCTGACTGCCAAGGCTGCCCCTGCTTACTGCTAAAATGAGAATGGCCACTCAGAACAGTCACTTAAGAAAAGTGTTCTTCTCTGTGTTATGGAGAATTTGCTCTCATGGATTTTTTGACATCTACACGTTACCTATCATGACATCTACATGGTTTTTAAAGTATTACAAATACTAAAATATTTCTTATTAGATATTCTTCTAAGCATTTTCTATTAAGACACTAAAGCTAAAGGCAAAGGTTAAAACAATGAAGTACTTAAACAATCTAAGCACAATTATTGGTCAAAAAATGTAGGAATCTAAAAGGTATTATACAAAAGGCAATGAATAGTCAACAGACTGCCAGCAAATGTGATTTTGGGGAGCCTTCTCAGACCGTCCAATACAGAATGCCTGGTAGTGGCTCTAAAGTACAGCATACATTCACTTTCTATGGACCTACAATTTCTTATTTTTAAATGAGAAGGTTAAACAAGATCATCTCTGAAGTTTATTCCAATTCTAGCAATAGTAACCTTAAAAAGTGCACTGTATATCCTTTTCCTGTCTATTCGTTGTTCAGGTTCCACTTGCAAAAGTTTTCTATTATAGTACACAGATATCCATAGTCTTTGTTTATTTTTGAGAGGTTTTTGCCATAGGGTACGTGCGCTCGCCAGACAGACAGAGACAGACAGAGAGACAGAAAGCGAGAAATCACCCCCCAGGGAGGATGGCCACACCGCAAGCCCTTCTCCTCCATTCCCCTCTCGGGATATTGGGCATGCACGCACACGCGCCCGGTGTGAGTTTTAAGCCACCAGATCCGGGACGTGAATTACAGTCGACTACATGGGAGTCCAGCGACATAGCCATTACGCTAACTGCTGGTCCCATAGCCTTAAAATCTTATTTTTCCAGATATATGATATTTCTGTTAGAAAATGGGGAAAAAATAATAGTATTGCTCTTTTTACTCCGATAGCTCTGTCACTGCTCTTGTTTCCCACCTCTTCTGCCACTCCCCGTGATCCTGTAAGGCTGTGAAGGTAAGTCACTAGGGTGAGAATGTTACAGAGCAAGGATTTGCAAACATTCTGACCTCAGAATTTCTTTAGGCTCCTAAAAAATTTGAGAAACCCAAAGAGCTTTTTTTTTTTTTTTTAAAGATGGGTTATATCTATTGATATTCACTATATTAGATATTAGAACAAAAAGTGTCTCAATTTATTAATTTAAAAATAACAATAATAGGCTCAGCCCGTGGCCCAGCAGGTGGCAAACTGAATTGTGGTGCTAGAAGCCACATGGCCAACTGCAGGTATGGATCCCTGGGTGGGCTTGAAATATGCTGGTGTCTGTGTGTGCCCCAGATCCTGACAAGCGGAAGGGAAAGGGGTCATGTTGTGACGTGTGTGTCCAGGGTGCCTCTCCCTCTTTCCTTCCCTCCTCCTCCCTCCTCCCTCTCTCTTTCAGGCACACAAATGCACTCTCAATCATAAATAAAATAAACTTTGAAAAATAAAGTCCATTATGTGTTAACAAAAATAACATACTTTTATTCTAAAACAAAAAAACAGGTGAAAAAAATGGCACTGTCAGGCCAGGTGGCCTGGTGATTAAAGTGACAGACTCCACATAGCTGACCATGGTTTGAGTCCCGGGACTAGGTGGCTTGCTTTCTCATTTTTGCTCTCTCTCTATTTCTCTCTGGTGAGTGCATATGCTCTATAGCAAATTAAAAAATAATAATGATAGGGGCTGGCAGGTGGCATGGTGGTTAAGGCACTAGACTCCCATATGACTGACCATGGTTCAAATCTTGGATCTGGCGGCTTGCTTTCTCACTTTCTCTCTGGTCAAATTAAGATAATAATAATAATAATAATACATAAAATTAAATAAATAATTATTTTAAAAGCGGGGGGGGGCACTATCACATTGTTGCAAATCTCCTTAGTGAAGATGCTGGTGCCTCATGTCTGCTTTGGCAGTCAATGTGCTGTACAAGCACACATCTCTGCAAAACTCCATTGTATGTTTGAGACAGTAAGAGGAAAAAGATAAATGCGTCTTGGTATCATTACAAAAATTATTAGACTCAGTAGAGCCTCTGAAAAGGTCTCAGGGATTTCTGGGCCACACTTTGAGAACCACTGCCACCGAGTTATGGTTTAAGGAAGGAGTAAGAACAATGAAATTCACAAAGGAGGGAAAAAATACAATGGTAACATCAAAAGGCTTATGTGTACAAACTCATTATTATTTATGTGAACTCACACATTCAGTAACATTTTAAAAGAAAAAAAATAAGGGGACAGTGCATGGTATGGTGATTAAGGCTCTAGATTCCCACATAGCTGACCATGGTTTGAGTCCCAAACACAGTGGCTTAAAAATCACACCAGGCGCTTATGCATGCACGTCCAAAATCCTGAGGAGAATGGAGGAGAAGGGATTGTGGTGTGGCAAGCCCTGTCAGGGGTGATTTCTCACTTTTCCTGTCTCTTTCTCTCTCTCTGGTGAGCACGTGTGCTCTATGGCAAAAACCTTAAAACAAATAAAAAAAATAATTTATTCATAGGAGGTTAATAATATGATACTAAATGAAGTCCAAAAGAGAAGCAACATGAGCAAATGTTTTAAATGAAAAAGTCTGGGGGCCGGTAGGTGGTGTGGTGGTTAAGAGCGCTAGACTCCCACGTAGCTGACTGTGGTTTAAGTCTCAGACCTGGTGGCTTGCTTTCACGCTCTCTCTCTCTCTCTCCCTGTCTGGTCAAATTAAAAAATAAATAAAGTTAAATAAAATAATTCTTTAAAAAAAAGACAATAGTGTGGACTGCAGAAGTTCCAAACAAAACTGGAAAATATAAATTTATAATCTTAAGATTCTCAAATGAGTCCATAACCAAAATAAATAAATAAATAAATAAATAAATAAATAAATAAAGCTTTCTACAGAAATATAATATTAGTGAAAGAGACATCTCAAAGACAAAACAAATGTTCTGCAATAAGAAAAGAACGACAGGGCCAGTTAGTGGCATTTAAATTAAGGCAACTGGATCCCACATGGCCAACTGCACGATTTAAGTCCCAGAACCAGCAACTTGAAAAACACCCCAGGTGTGGTGTGTGCATGCCCAAAATCCCAAGAAGAAATGGAGAGAAGTGACTGTAGTGTGGCCATCACCCCTTGGGGGTAATTTCTTACTTTCCCTATTCTCTTTGCCCCTCTCTGGTGAGTATACACACTCTAAGTAAAACAGGTAAAAAAAAAATAAAAAGAAAGAAAGAAAGAAAGAAAGAAAGAAAGAAAGAAAGAAAAAGATTTCTGCATTATTCTCAAATTTGCAAAGGGAAAAGCTGCTGTAATTTTATGTGACAGGTTAATCAAAAAGCTACCTTTAGAACTTATCTGAACAGACTCCTAGCATTTCATTTGGTAACATCAACACCTCTCTCACTTTTCATCACTCACCTTGGATATGCCTGTTAATACACAAAGTTCCCCTCAGTTTTTAAAAAGTAGAATTAATTTTGGCCAACTGCAGGGATCAGAATCCTGTGAACCAAGGGAATGAATAAAATGTAAAACTACCTGCTGTCCCACTGAGAAGGCCTGATTGTTAAACTGCTGAATAAATTCTGCTGCCATCTTGTCGGTGTCGTAAGGGTTGGAGTCGATGCTTTTTTTCTGCAGGAAATCAATCTCGATGGTCATTGTGCCAATACATTGTTTGGCTTTGTCAAATGTATATAAGGAGACTAGGGGAGAAAAAGAAGCAGTTTTTAAAATCACAGGTGCACAAACACTTGCTGTGTTTCTAGTAGCAGAAAGTTTCACATAAACAAATCATAATGAAACTTGACCAAAAAGGAGTTTAATTGGCCTTCAGTAAAAAAAAAAATACACAGGCAGATTTTTTAAAAATAAATAATAATTGCTTGAGATTTTCTTCCCTATTCGAATTAATTAGAAAATACTGAACAATGTTCTCCCTCTACTTTGACCCCTCACACCACTCTCACAAGGAAACCACAGCCCTTCCCCATGGCCTCTACACCTTCCTCTTATTTAACAGGGGACAGGATAACAGTATGGGAAGCCCCCATGTGGGTGGCACAGCACACTGTTTCCTAACAAGATTTTTTGTTTGACACAAGAAAGAGCTAAGATGAAGAGTAGGCAGACTCTTAGACCCTAAGAAAGTAAATGCTAGACAACACATGACCAAATTTTCACTGGGGAAAATGAATAGGGAATTTGCTCTAGAGCAAGTTAAGATTATGGCATTTCTTGTTTAATACTATAAAAATATTTACTGAATACCTACCTAGGGAACTACAGTAATTTCTGCACCCATGACATGCAGAACAGCAAGTACCATGTTTTTAACCTCATGGTTACAGCAAGTAATGGTGTCTTGTACATACTTAATATATTCATAAACTGTTTAAATTAAACAATTAACAAAAAAACCTCTGAAGTCTCCATGTTAATAACAAAGGAGGCAGGGCTAGTAGGTAGCATGATGGTTAAGGCATTGGACTCCCTCATGGTGGACCTTGGTTCGAGTCCTGGACCTGGCAACTTGCTTTCTCACTTTCCTTCTCTCTTTCTCCCTGTCTCTCTGGTGACTGTATGTGTCCTATATCAAACTAAAAAATAGTAATAACAATAAATAAAATTAAATAAATAACTTTTTAAAAAATATAACAAAAGAGGCAAGACAAAAATGTATATAGCTTTGGGTATGAAAATTCTTGTTTTGGCCAGTTTCATGGCCTAGTGGTTAGCCCACATGGCTAACCAGGAGGTTTAAATTCTGGTCCCCTGCAGCTTGAAAAACACACTGGGCATGTGTATGCGCATGCCCAGAATCCTGAAAAGAAAGGACTGCAGTATGACCATGCCCCACTGGGGAGGGTGCTCTCTCCCTCTCCCTGTCTCTGTCAGGAAAGCACATACACTCTCTGATTTTCAAACAAACAAAAAAAGAAAATTCATGTTCAAGCCACAAGAAAGTTCTAAAATGGCTTAACTTACAATGTGATAAATGCAAGGATGAAAAGCACACTGAAAAGCCTATTTATAATTGCTAATATATAAAGAAACTTTAAAAGCAAAAAATTATTACATTGCAATATATTATATTGAGACCATTAGGAAAGAGTAAGCTGCCCAGAAAAGTTTGAAAAGATTTTTACATTTCAGTTTCCCCAACAGGGCAACTCGACAATATAGAAGAGTCTATCACTGCTCTCCAATGGGGCTGAGTACGTGTACACCTCCACGTTCCCTTCCCATTCCCTGAAGATGGCTGTCCTAAAATTTGCCAAGGACCCCCCTCAGGACACAGTAGAAGCTCTCTGCAGCAACCACCACTGAGCTGACACACCTGAATACTGACCAACTTCAACCCCTCTAACATACCAATCTGCCTATGGCCTGCTGCTCTCCAGGCACTGCAGGAGTTGCCACACATCACGGGTCAGCTATGTTCATTCTCTAATCTATTTATGCTAGCTATGTGTATTAGATAATTATGTAACTTAAATAGCATAGAACTGTTGAAAATTTGACATTCTAGAATTGATACTATAAGACTAAGTTGAACACTCTAGAAAAATTTAAAGAAGAAAAAATTTTTTGTAAACCAACTTATTAGGCTGGCTCTAGAACACAGGTTAAATGCAATGCACCAGTAGCTGAATCCCATATGGCTGAAAGTTTTTAGAATTCTGGCTACAAAAGCTTGAAAAACATACTGGGTGCACATGTGCTCACGTGCCCCAAATCCTGATAGGATGGAGAAATGGAAGGAAAAGAACTGTGTCAAGATCATGCCAAACTGGGTATGCTTTCTCTCTCACTTTCTCTCTCATAAGTGCATACACCCCTAGCAATTAAAGAAAAAAAAATCATTAAGTGAGTATGAACAAGAAAATGAGAAAAGATTAGGGGTAAAATCCAAAGGATTCTATACTCCCAGATACTTCACAAGGTCTACATTTTCCATCCCTCCCACTTTTTTATTTTGCCAGAGAACACATGCACTCACCAGAGACAAAGAAACAGAGGGAGAGGGAAAAACACCCTGCAGTGGGGTGTGATCATGCCACAATTCCTTTCCCACCATTTCTCCATCCTGTTGGGATTTTGGGCAAGCACACACATGCATCCAGTGTGTGTGTGTGTGTGTGTGTGTGTGTGTGTGTGTGCGCGTGTGTGTGTGTTTTAATTGCGTAATTAATTTTATCTTTAAAAGAACACTATAAAAATTTCAAATACACAAAAGTACAGAAAATAGTAAAGCAAATAAAAACCATGTATGCAAAGACTCAGATTACCATAATTTTGCCAAATTTTAGTTATCCATACTCATTTTTCTTTTGTGTGAGCATTTAAAGGACACTCCAGACATTATATCATTTCATGTGCACAAACCTCAGAATGTATGTCTAACAAATAGATTTTTTTAATATAACCACAATGCTATTCTCACACCTAACAAAAACATGGTTTCATATTATCTAATACTGTAAATATTGTCATTTTTCCAACTGTCCTAAAAATGTGCTTTTTATATTTGTTCGACTCACGATCTAAATAAAAACCATTCCATTATAGCATTTTCTTGATAGATCTTAAGCCTTTTTTCCATATCTCAGCGTTCCATTTCAGTATCTTTCAATATCTAAGAGTTGACATTTTTCCAATGCCATTTTGCTGGCTGAGAAACTAGGTCATTCCTCTTGTAGAAGTATCCATATTTTAGAATTAATTGCTTCTTGTTGTGTGATATAATTTTTTCTCCCATTCCCTAAATCTTCTCTAAGCTAGGAGTTAGATCTTCAGGCTTAATTAAATTCAGGTTCAACGTTTTTGGCAAGATGTGTATACCTTACGGTAGCACGCTTAGGCGGCACATAATGTTTTACTGTCCTGTTTTTTGTGAGGTTAAGATTGATCAATGGTTTCAGATGTTATCAATCTGATCCATTTGCTACGTTCCTGTCAGCATTTTACTTTATGGTCTCAATCTCTACTGAGAATCATGCCTAATCTATTTTTCCTTTGCCTGTTGCAAAATAGTAATTGTCTAATACTAAAATTCTTTCTGCATTCATTAGCTGGAATTCTCTGATAAAGATAAGCTTTAAATCATCAACCACTGAATGCCCTGAAATACAGTTCACACAGAAAATATAGGCAAAATGACTTTTCTTTCCTTTTATGCCTTTCCTTTTTCAAAAAAAAAAAGAATTATTTCATTTAACTTCATTTATTTATTTTAATTTGACCAGAGAGAGAGAGAGAGAGAAAGTGAGAAAGCAAGCTGCCAGATCCGGGACTTGAACTGCAGTTGGCCATGTGGGAGTCCAGCACCCTTAACCACCATGCCACCTGCTGGCCCTATTTCTTTCCTTTTATCTATTTTCAGAATGAGCAAAGGGCATTCCTACGTTCAAAAACTTTTTCTGTAGAATTTATTTTCTAATGCTCCTCTATATAAATTCACAGTGGAATCATTCTTATAATTACTACGTTACATTATGAATTCACTGATGATAAGTAAAGTGTAAATGTTGTCTAAATGCCTCCTTACAGTCCTTACATTTGTATGGTCTCCCACCAGAATGAATTCTCTGAAATGAGTTCTCTGATGTGAATAAGTGATGAATGAAGTCTGAAGGTTTTTCCACATTCCTTACAGCCATAGGGTTTTTCACCAGTATGAATACTCTGATGTCGAGTAAGTTGTGAGAGCAAACTCTGAAAGTCTTCTCACAATCCTTACATTTACAGGGTTTTTCACCAAAACGAATGCTTTGATGCTGGGTAAGTTGCTAGAACAGGCTAAAGGCCTTCCCGCACTCCTTACATTCCTAAGGTTTCTCTCCACTATGAATACCTTGATGTGAAATAAGTTCCGAGTAATGAAGAAAGAACTTCTGACACTGCTCACATTCATAAGGTTTCTCACCAGTATGAATTCTCTGATGGAGAGTCAGATTATAGCCACGACTAAATGTCTTCCCACCTTTTTTACAATCATAGGGCTTCTCACCAGTATGAATTCTCTGATGGGGAGTAAGTTGTTGCTTCATTCTACAGGCCTTTCCGCAATCCTTACATTCATGGGGTTTTTCACCAGTATGAAGTTTATGATGTTTTTGAAGGCCTATGCTACAAGAAAAGCCTGACTACAATCCTCACACTCATAGATAGCACTTCTCAGCAATGCTAAGTCTCTGATGTCCAGTAAGGTGTGCATACTGTCTAAAGGCCTTCCTGCATCCTTACAGTCATAGGGTTTCTCACCGGTATGAATCCTTTGATGGAGATTAAGCTGTCCTCACACCATAAAGGCTTTCCCACATTCCTGACACTCATAGGGCTTCTCACCAACAGGAACTCTGATGTGCTTGAAGGTCTGAGCCACATGTAAAGATAGTTCCACATTTCTTTTTTACATTCATAGAGTTTGTCAGAAGTATGAATTATTTGACGTCAACTAAGGGGGGGCACACTGTCTAAAGGTTTTTCCGCATTCTTTACATTCATAGGGTTTCTCACCAATATGAATTATTTGCTGAAAAGTAAGTTGGGTACCCTAAAAGCCTTCCTACATTCCCCACATTCACAGGGTTTTTCTCTGTTATGATTTTTCTGATATAGCGCAAGAGATGTAAATTTTCTATAAATGGGCATTTTGTCAGGAGTGGTTTTTTTCACTTGCCTAAATAATGTCTCGTGAAAA